CCCCCCCCCAACCACACACACACACAATGTATATATACATCATCCCCATCGGTGCATGGATGCGTGCGAGCGCGGGTGCGTGGTCGGTGGATGCATGCGCGGGCGCGTCTGTGTATGTGTGGCAGCGTGTGTACGTATGTTTCTTATAACATTACAACAGGCACGAGCAGCATACACTAGAGAGCAGATACAAACTTATAACAATGTAATATTTTCTCTTCATCATACTCGATATTCGTGGCTTTATTGCATGTTCAATAAGGATTAACCCTCTTTCTGTAACTCCATTTAAATGTTTCAGAGAAGTATAGAACTCTTAGCACTAAAACTGAGCTAGAAGCTTTTGAGCATGTATTGTTCATATTAGATATGGATATCTAAAGACTTCGATACAGAGACATAGATGATGGGGCACCTTGCAGTGGCTATTCTATTCTAGAGAAATTTTGCTTTTTCTAGAAAACATAAAAACTTCAAGTTGTTGCTATAGTCAAGAAAATTATCAGTATACATCAAGTTAAAATGACCTAATTAAGCACAAATCTATAGGCTATCTTTGTAAGTGAACCATTTCTTACCAGCAGCTTCTGCTTGTTTTGACATTGTTTTAAATGATGATGGATTAGGACAGACAGGATTGTGAACAATTGCAGTAGTAGCAAATTTGAACAAATCAACAATGGGGCTATTGCCACACTCAGCAACTTTTACTTGTCCATCTGATCCAGGAATCATTCCTAACCATGGGACCGTCTGCATGAACTGTGTTGTGTCAACTTCTCTCTGTTGCAAGCATGAATTAGATTAAGTATTTGTCACTGTAAACATCATCATATTGAACAAGAGGCAACAGAATCAAATGATAGTGATGGCAAAAATGTAAAAAATAAAAAGGATGACAAGACATTATTTTTTTTATTAGATAAAGAGTATTTACGATAGTACATGATTTAGTGTACACTGAAGTGCATGTGCTAAGTTTGCAGGATACACATTGTTAGCACGACCGCTCATTAGCGTGAGCTTCAGGGATAAGTGTTTATTTGACATAATGTCAGAGCACCATGTTTAAGAGGTCCCAGGATGAACATTCAACTTTGAGAATTCAAAATAAGTATATTTATAGCCCCATTAATTATGCCTTGACAGGTAAGTCACTTTCCCACTAGATGTTTTTCCATGTGCCCTGAAGTATTGTCTGCAGGAGCACATGTATAAAGTTGTTCTATATACATAGCTTGCAAACCATCAGCTTAACTTTTTTAGTGAACTGGTCTATATGGCAGTAAGTTATTCGCAATGATGCAAAAAACATCTTATTGATACTTAGATTTACACTATACTGATAATGATCTTGATAACTAATCTCCATTTTCTTGTTGCGTAATAGAAAGGGATGTTTTAGATGGTATGAAATTATGATCTCTTATGAGTTTAGTGACATCTATGTTTCTAGTTTTTTGCACTAGTAATAGAAAGGACCTGTTTATGGTGCACAAGGCATTTGTCATGTTTTTTGTAATGTATTTGTAGGGGCATGACATGGTTTCGCTCCTAATGTCTGTTTCCAGGATGATTTTTGTAATATAGTTGCACCGTATTCCTTTGTTACATTCCCAATAACACAAAGCAACCAATGGGAAATATAAAGTACTCACGAGAACAAGGTCAAGGAGGCCCATCCAGTAAATTGCACTCCCTACTTCCTTCAGACCATGAAGTACTTCTGCCTTAAGTTCCGACTTTGTGCCCCAGGTAAGCTGCTCATGAACAATTCTTTGACAACCTACAGATAGAAAATATATAATAGAAACGTTTAATCTTCATGAAACAAAGGATAATAGGATTCCAGAGAAAAATCAGTAACTTTTAAGGATTTTAAGTTAAGCCAGTTCAAACACACATGCATAATGCACAGAGATGATATATTTGTTAACAAACACTTTAGAAAATAACTACCTTATTCTAGAAGAAGATAATATCTGGTGACAATTGCTTTAGAAAGAAACAATTAGCCATCTCAAGACTAGGAGTTTGTTTGGTGACTTTTGTCTAAGTTATGATTGCCTATAAAAGATTGCTTGTGATTATTCTGAAGTTTCTTAAATTACAGGAATGCATACATAGATAAGATTAACTAGTTTTACTATTTCCATGAAGAACTAAGCATAACATCGTCTCTCCATTAAGTTTTGAAAAATGCTTGTATAACTTGACACTGACATACATAGTTATAGATGGATATTAAACTAGTAATAGGTCTTCAAGAGGTGCAAGAGTTTATGCTGTGGAATAAAGTATAATCCAAAGCACAAAAAAAAATGGTAAGCACAGAAAACTCTTGTGCCATAGAATTTGGACTGTAAGGCCCTTTTTACCTGCTATACCACCATCAAATGGAAGAAGCCCAATTGATTTTGGCAGCACTTCTTGCAATCCAGCAATTTTAGGAGCAACTGATGTAATCTGAAAAAAAAAATGAGCATTCATACACAAATATATATGTAAGGCCATACAGTTAAAAAATGCGAAAATTTCACAAACCCCCCTCCCTGAACTTTACAAATAATAGAAAACTCCCCAGAACTATCAAAATTCTACAAAACTATAAGAACTTGCCTTGGTCGCAATATGGTCTAGTAAAGCACGAATAATCCAGGGTAATGATCTGGATCCCACAAGTTTGACAATTGCAGTCATGTGGGGAATTCCAAAGAACTCAGAATATAATCCAGCCAAACTTTGGTAAGCCAAGTTCAACTCCTGCAAGAAATAATTGATATCAAGTCAAACATCTGGTAGATAAAATTCAGATAAACTATCAGATAGTGGCAATGATATGGAATTACGGAGGTCAAAAATAAGGCCATGAAGTAGAATATCTGAATTTGTTAGCATATACAAAATTAATTGAGTAAGAGGGAAAAATGGGTGAAATTTTTGTTAACGAGAGTCATTTTGTTGAAAGCGGAAGACAGTTTATAATAGAAAAAAACCAACTCAATTTTATCATTAGTATAAGAAAAGCATTAACGCAGTATTAATGATTAAATCATGGGTTATGTAGAATAAGGTTGTCTGATGGAATTTCCCTCTATACATGTTAAGTAAAATTGAAGTAGATTTTGTACTCCTACTTTGAGTAATAATCATCTGGAAGAACCTTGTATATGACTTACTATGTTTCCATAAAACCACAAAATCTAAGAATAATAATAACCATATTGATCAGAAATGGCTTGACTCCAAAATGAAAATGCATAAGGTCACAGTCACCCAAATTGACAGAGTATAAAGTACATAATAAAGCGGCTAAATGACACTTAAATACCTTATAGTTTCACACTCTTAGCACTTATATACCCTCAATTGTATTTCGTAGCATTTATATACCCTGAGTTGGTCAAAATTGGCATATTAATACCCTACATTTTGCAAACGTGATAGTTTGTATTCAAAACTTCCCATATAATATTTATATGCTTATCTTATATTTTTTTCTCTATTGAGTTTGTTGAATTCATTATTAAATCTTTTAAAATTCTATTTTTGAAATAGAATTATGATATATTTAAATTAGAATTTGTGTAGGTTTAATAATAATTTAATAAATATTAATGGTTAGAAAGCTCCAAAATTAACATATGAATATTATATGGAAACTTTCGAATGAAAATTTTCACGTTTGCAAAATATAAGGTATTAAAGTGCCAATTCTGACCAACTAAGGGTATATAAATGTTACAAAGTACAACTGATGGTATATAAGTGCTAAAGAAGTGAAACTATAAGGTATTCAAGTGCTATTTACAAAATGAGATTTTAAATTCATGCTCATGAACTGATTCTAAACCCTTAGGACAGTGATCAATATATATTCACATATAGACATATAGCATCAGCGATATCTGTAACCCTAATTCAGTCATTAGTCCAGGTACTCAAACCAAATAAAATAAGCAGTCCTCAAATGTCAACGCTAGAATGCTAAGCTTCAGAAACTGATAAAAGCTTGCCTAAAAATTTTAGGATTTTCAGTAGAAACTAGAAAATATAAAATGAGATGATAGAATAATAGGTATAATTCAATTAATAGCAAAAGTATCAGCAATCTTTTTCAACTCTTGGAGTTAGGACCACTTTGACTGATGACACTATTTAAGTGGAGAAGTCTTCAGGAATACTATACAACCATAAGTAGCCCATGAAGGTGAAGGGAAAATTTTCTGAAGATTGGTCTACAACCAGCTGTACTATATGGCTCGGAATATCAAGCAAGTAAGAAACAACTTGTCCAAAAATATCGAGTAGTTTAAAAGAGAATGTTGAGATGGATAACTGGTAGAGTGAAGATAAGAAGTTATCACATTCATATGAAGAGGTAGCTTCAGTTGACAACAACAGGAAAGAGGGTCATTTGGAACAGTTTGGACAAATGCAACAGATGCCATTCATTCCACCAGTTAGGATAGCAACAAGATTAAGAATAGGCAAAAAGAAACATAGCTTGAGGTAGTCAAAACAGTATATTAATTGAAAAGTATAGTAAAATGGCTCTCGACAGGGTTGAACTGACGAATATGGTCTGAGCAGCTCACCCCAAAATTTTTGGATAAAAGCTATATAATCGATTCCAAAAAAGAGACAAATTATTGCAGTTGATATCATATATAGAAATGGTTCAGAAAGAAAAACAAATTTGCATATAGAATATGAGGAAATACAATAGTTTGAAACAATATGAAGGTTGTCAACGAATTTTACATAATATTGAAGACAATATTTCATTATACAACCTAGTGGATTAGAAGTCTAATCATTGTTTGTATCTGACTTATGAAATTTGGGTGGTGCCTCCTCTGACTGCAAAAACCTATATTTGTTCTAATGTCATGGCTAAAGAGAGATTCTATTATCATAACTTTTCAAAATGAAAGAAAGTGGCAGCATCTACAAGCACAGAGACAAATAAGGAAAAGAGATTGATAGCCATGACAAATCATATCACTAGAGGAACTTGACCAGCATTTTTGGACTGCAGCCAATACTTTTAGCAACATTACCTCTATATCATCCTGCTATATCAGATATAGAAAGGCAGCATAAGTTAGCAGGTCTATACGTCAGTGTTGCACAGTAAATCTGGTCAACCTAGAATGGCTTCATCATTTACTTTGCAATATATATCTGAAGAGGTAAGTTTCAGCACAGTATATGGCAAACATTATGGATATGATGATGAACATGACAAACACCTAAGCCCCAGACTGAGCAAAATGCATGGACTTCCAAGTAGAATAATCAATATTCCACAACAATGACAAATTTGTGCTCACAATATGAACCAAACTATGCAAGATGGTAGTAAAACAGAGAGTATCACAGGCTACTTTTACAAGGAAAGCACTTCAGCAAAACAAGAATATAGGGGGGGAAATAATTTTTGAGTAAGATTTCAAAGACTTTTACCTGAGATCCACAGTAGAAATAAGGCTTAGGAACTGGAGTATCCATTCTTTGAATAGCTTGGCGAGGCCCTTTCAAAGACCGGACGAATCTTTGCGTGGTATTGCAAAGGAGAAAATTTGGTAAGAAGTCATTCTGCATCTCTGCCCAAATCTAGAAGCACAGAATATGATTAATTGAGAAGATCAGGAAGAAACAGAAAACAAAGTACAGTATATTGCATGCACTACTGTTTTCATTTTTAAGGAAACGACCAGACAAAACCCCCACAACCCAACATGTCCATTCCAATTACCAATATACACGACAAAGAGAATACAAGCATAAAACAAGGCGCAGTAATTATAATTTCCGCATGTATCTGTGTGTGTCAATGAACTTCAACTTCTTTTTAGTTTTCAGCATGAAGCACAACTGGGGCTAAAATTTTTAAATGATCTTCATTTAACAAATGAAACATGTTACAGATTTTTTGAAGATTTATGCCAAATTTTTAACTTTCAGGAAACATATGCCACTATGGAAGAATAAAATGACATACACAGAAGCTTCAATGTTATATTCTAAATATAGGTAAATTTCAAATATTAGATGCTACTATGAAGAATCAAAATTCATCAAAGACGATGTGTCAAGATGCCAATTTTTCCATAAGGAAAGAAAGAAGAGCTTGGTGCCTCCTATTCGGGAAGAAGTAATCAGTCGGTGCCCCTAGACCAACATAAAGCATTTATTGGATATGAACAACTACTATATCTCCCTTCTCCCATTTGATTAAGAATAAGATTCCTAACACCAAATAACCAAAAGCTTTAAATCTCAGATTAATAAGCGAAAAGAAACAACATGGCCATGATCATGTCCTCAAGAAGAACTTTCTCACATTTCTTTTATAGCACTAAACTAGGAGTCACAAGCTCCTTGAGGAGCCATTTCAACAGTATGCCAAATGCGGGTGTTAAGAGACCCACAAAATTTAAATAAAATTGGATCTAGAAAGTCACAAGACAGAGCACGGAAATTCCATCAATTAAATTAGGGTTGTATTTGGCAGATTAAATACAGTTTTCAAATCCCTCCAAGAGATGTTGCGCTGATAATTCTGCAGTCTAGAGATATCAATAATCTTAATTTAACAAGGAGCAGTTCCCTTTGTCATACAGTTTATGTGGCCTTCTAGCAAATTATAGGACCATGTGAACAAAATCATCACATCACCACTCTATAAGGTTGAACATCTTATTTATTGCTCGCAACCATAGAGCAAGCAATCAGAATAAATAATTAAGATATGATGGGTTTACAAGTAGACAACTAAGAAGAAACCTGTACAGGCAAAGAGAATATCATGCAGAAATCAAAAAGGAAAACATCTTTCATGCAGTTCCTATTTTGGCTGGCTGTTGGTGACTTGGTTCACAATTGCTGCTAGAGTTGCCAGTTGGCTTTGTCGATAGGATAGAGTGTGACAACTAAGAGCATGTTTGGAAACTCTAGATCATATAATCCAAGTGGATTGCAATCTAGATTATTTGGTAAATTTAGTGGATTATAATCTATTTTTAATAGTAGAATGTTTGAAAAATGGGTGAATTATAATCCATCATTGTTGTCAAAATGCCCAAAAAGGAGAAGCGAGTTATTAACTGAGGCCTTGAATTTCGTGAAATCATAAGGAGTATAACTGTCTTTTACTTGGTCAAACCCCATGGCTTTTAATCCACCAAAAGATAAGCTACGGTAGCCTAGCTTATTTATTGGTGGATATAAGCCAAAGTAAGTCATTTGCCAAACATCTCAAAGGGGCTTGTAAGCCACTCTGACCGTTTGATAAAACAGGCTCTAAAACTCATCAGGAATAAGGCTGTCCCATTCTCATGCATTTCTGTGTGGTCTAGAGCGGATGTTTGAACAACTAAGCCATCTAATGCTATTGAGAAGACCTGGATTTTGGAGCTAGGTTCCAACCCAATTTTATGTTCTCGGAGATAAGGAGGGAGAAGGATGACGACAAAGATCAGTTGTGAAGAAAAAGGGAAACAACCGTCAGTGCTATCAATGAAATGTTTTATGTTGTGAGTAGCTCAAAAGAAAAAGCTACAAGAACGCACAAGTTCCCTCCCAATCTAGATTCGGCAATCCAGATTCACCCAGCTGTGCTAGACTCTACCAATATCAAGCATTTTCTGCAGAAATAACCCATACAAACTCTCAAAAGACAGAATGAAGCAGAGAAATAAAATCACAAATTGGTTCATTTGTGATCCAAAGTAAAGTGACCAAAAATGGGCTGGCTGACCACTGAACAGAAATGAATATCATATGATGTTGAAAGAGTTAATGAGAAATTAATATAGAAAATAGAAGACAATAATAATTACACTAAGGACTCTACTGAAGGGATAAAATGATAGTTTAGAAATTGGGTAAGTGGGGACTCACTTGCCAACCATAGAGAGGGCTTATTTGCTCAGAATTTAGAAGCAACAGCTACAAAAATACAATGAGGAAGTTCTATACAGAAGCTACATCCATCACAAGTAAACGATGGTTCATACAGTTGACTTCACTAACACAACTAACAACTGCCTCCTAATATTGAAATCACTACCAGTTAACGCCACTTTGACCATCATGAGCACAGAAGTGTACCTCCCATTTAATTTGAACAAGCCATTGGAGTTTTTGTGGATATCAACAGCCATTACATCATTATATAGATTTGGTTTAGAAAAAATGTTGATGTTACGAGCCTATTCAACAGCCAAAAATTTTTCCTTGTGTATATCCCCTGTAATGTCAACAGCCATTGGGGTATTTGTGGATATCAACAGTCAAATGTTGGTATTAAAGAGCCTCTTTAACAATCTCAGCATTTTTCAGCAGGGTATTCATTGGATATGGTTTATGAAAAATATAAGTTACAAAATTTCACCCAAAAAAATTATTCTGGTAAAAACCGAAGGCAATAAATCCGCATGATGTAGGCATTAGATGCCATTGATGACACTTATTTTCCGATACAATCTCAAAATGAATTTTGCTCTGAACAGTAACCTGCTGTTTTATTTGGCTACACCATTAAGTCATGTGGGCAGAAGTCAAGTCATCCAGAGAGGGTAGCATAAGTATTTAAAGTATAGGATTTTAAAGTATAGGAATAGAGGATATAAATTTCAGCTCTGACATATATACTATCATTAGTTAATGTACATGATTGAGCAGCTATGTTGACAAAGAAGCAAAAAAACTTTCAGGTGATAGGAATAGAAGAAAATGTAACAAAAATAATTCCGAGTATGATAAAGCAGGATGTGCCCCATTCTTCAAGAAAAACTCAGTAGAGAGAAAAATAGAGCCAAACCTGAGAAGCAAGTCTACTGGAAAATGAAACAAGAGAAAGATTCTCCTGCATCTCATTCAATATAAGAGAAAATGAGTCTATTTCAAGATGTTTAGAAAGAAACTGATGAGTGAGCTTCAACATATCCAAGAGCAACTGCAGTTCCTATACATGTCAAATGGTACATATAATCAGAACGCATTGAAGACAATTGAAAACAAATAACTAAACAACACTTACCACAATGGCACATAAATCTTGGTTTTCAAAGCGATCAAACAGAAAATCAATATTTTCCCTGAACAGTTTGTTCATCCTTTGAGTAATTAATGTCCTCAAGTCAATGGTCCTTCCTAAAAGCTGAAAATTGGAAAGACACTTCAGCAATATACCCAATAAACCAATGCCTAAGAAGCAAGAAAAGGTACACTATAAGTAAATCATAACCAAGATAGACAAGTGGTGAGGCCCATCTTGTTATTCACATCAGATGGGTGGGTCTCACCTATCTCTTAGTAACCCATTTAACAAAAATAAATTGCCAACTCTATACATGCACATGTATGTGTACATATATGCATGTACATGTATGTGTACATATATGCACATGTATGTGTACATATATGCATGTATGTACATGAAGGTGTGAGCGTGCACCACCTTATTTAGCAAAATGAGCCATCAAGTATATGTTCTTCAAATAATTCATTCATACCTTTACTCTTCTCAGCTTGAAAATCTCATTGAATCTTAAAGGCCTAACTGAATATTTGTCAGCATCATCACAGGCAGCGAGGAATGATTCATCAAGTAGGTCACTGAAAAGAAGTTTTGAAGCACTCAAGATGATATGATAGACTAGCTAAAAATTTATATTGCAAGGAAATTTAGTATACCTAGCTGCACATCTTTTATAATATGAAAAGATAATCTCACTGAGCTTGAAAACAAGCTGATCAAAACACAGATCAACCTGCAAAAACAATGAAATTATGCACAATCAAGGTGAAGACAAGCTACAGGAATATTAACCACAAAGAGAATAGTAACAGGTAAATTTTAAGTTATCCTAACAGAAAAATTTACTGCATGGGTATAGAATGATATTATTCATTCCTTTTAACAACGTGACTGACAATTACTACAAATCAATCAAGGCCCTATCTAAAGTCCACCTTTCTCAAACAAAGAACTCTAGAAATGAAGTACTTTCCTTTCTACCTCCCTTCCACCAATGTTCATGAATATAGGATAAGTCATTCCACCTAACCACACATTTCAAACCCCATCAGAACCCACTAGGAAGAACACCAAGCTCAGAAAAATCCTCGAGCTCAAATAGCTGGCAGTGATTAAACCCAATAAAGCAAAAGTTAAACCCTACAAATTAAATATTAAAAACACGAAATTTAAAGAACTTACTCTACTATACACCAGATCTGACAGAAATGTCAACCTTATCCGTAGATTCACAGAGAAATACTCGTCATTTTGTCTACTCAAAATGATTAATTACACAAGTTTAGCAATGAAAATGCTAATCTCCACATGGAAAAAGGAAAATGATTGTATAACATACAGTTACAAGTTTTTTTTAAATTTTTTCTGTCTATTCAAAATGAACCATCAATTCACTTTAACAGGTCTGCTTTACATACCTCGGCTTCAATTTCATCATATAGAAAACGCTGTTTCAGAACAGTCAATGCATGTTGAGCAGAGTCATTATAGATATCAAAAGGCATCAGAATACTTTCAATAAGTCCAGCATCTTGAGACTCAATCACATGATCCACCAGCATCCAAGGAAGAGAACATTCAATTGGAAACTACATGCAAAATTTATAAGGTTAGCAACGTGAAAGATTGCTGCAGAGGATGGACACTAGAGGTATGTATTACATGCGAATGCAAAGAGCAAATCATTGAACCAAGATTATTAACATGTAAGAGGGGTTGCAATAAGATATTATTTAAAAAAGATTGTTGTGGATCACAGATATCATTCCTGAGCAAATAACACCAAAATAATATAAGTGCAACAAATCAAATATGAAGAAGACCCGTATGATGCATCAAATGATAAATGAATTCTGATAGTATTTCTCAACTATTATTATGCATTGGTGACATATAAGAAGCAAATACCGGTTTAAAACCAATGGATCAAGCATCAGCAATCACATGAGTATTGAGTTAATTATTATTGATGTTATCCAAGAATATTTCTATAAATGTGGTCAGGTACATAACAAAGTTTTGTCAACATTCTTTCTGTGAAGTGCGAAATAAAACTTTTAACAACACCCACCTGATACCAGCCTTCTATTGATTCCCTTACTACCCAATTACTGACAAAGGTACCATACGAAAAAAGTGGGGATCACCATAAAGCCTCGAAAGCTCTGACAATCTGATTCAGGTACGACTAAGACAAGGAGGCAAAGTCACATTCAATCTTTTAGGGCGTTTGAGAATCTTGGTTATCTATAATGCACATGCACTATGTCAGTGGACATGATCCTAGGTCATTCTTTATTCATTTTGAGACCTGATTAAGTGGAGACCCTGACCGACAATGATGATTTAATTAGCCATGTTACGCTGGAAACAATGTTACAGTGGGATCACAAGCATATAATTAAAATTCATCTCTATCAACAATGATGAAGATTTCACTCTTCTAATCTACCATACCACTTTCAGAAAACATCAATGCAAATATAAAATCAGTTAGTTAATTAGGGTACATTTAGGATAAAGGCTTTTTTAGTCGAGTAATCAGTTTTTCAGAAGATGAAGCCTTTGAGATAAATGTAATTGCCTAAAACAAGGCTGGCAACCTTCCACTTCATCTAAAACTTTATTGTGGAAGGGATATTGGATGTTGCTTCCCAGCTAGAGAACCCAAACATGGAGACCAATGAAACAAGTGCTTTATTTTCCCAAGTGGCTGCTTTGCATAAGTAGTTCGGGACAAACTATGAGGTCGACAGCAATTACCAAGAAATTTCATACTGTGTTCTCATTTAGAAATGTCAACATCATAGCCACACTCATCTTTGATAGAGACAAGACACTGTTTTGATGATGGTGAATCAGTTGATCATAGCTAAATATCCTTTACTCAAATATCAGCCAATATGCTAAAGACTAAAAAATATAGAAGAATGAACTTAACCTATGGTAAAACAGAACATAATTCTACAGTATCATAAATAACAAAATAGAAGATTGCATTCAATGGTGTTTACCTGGATGACACGAGAAGATTCTAAATAAAATTCTCTAAACCAAAGAAATCCAAGATCCGTTAATGTGCCAATTGTTGCTGCAGTCACCATAAACACAATTACTGAAGTCTAGTATGCTGAATAGCTTTCTACAAATTGAAATGAAAAAGAAAGAGTAGATTTCGATCATACTTGGAAAAAAAATAGTACATAAGCTCAGTAGCTGCAGAACTAATTAAGTGAAACAAAGAAAGAGTAGAGAAAACAAAAGATATCAGTTTAAACATGTGGTTCAGCATGCCAATTGTAAAGTCTGGTACCTTGTACATCTAAATGTAGCATTGCACATCTTCATTGACAGGGGCGGAGTCAGAAATTCTATGCAGGTTAGGCACTCTACCAAGTCCACTAATGATTATAGAAAAATAACAAAATTTAAGAGAAATAATAACAACCTCGCATAAAGATAATAACCATAGGGTATATCTACAGTACTTTCATTTGAGATATAAACAGTTAACATATAAAGGATCTTTTTCTAAAAAAGTATTTTTGAAATGAAGATATGTCAATATTTAGTGACTTAGACAACGAGCAAAAAAGGAAGAGCTGTTTGCTAAAGTCAAGGATTTTTTATTTTATTTTATATGTTGGTATATTTTTTAAGCCATTCCTACCATGATAATTAATGTCAACTACGGAAATTAAAATGAGTAAATGCAAAGTGAAATATAACAGAAATAAAGGATATTAACATTGCAGGTATATAAGAATTACACAGACTTTAAATAATCTATAACTGAAACTGAGAAAGTATTATATTTTATGAGTGAGGTAGTAACTTTATGATTCATAAAAGAGAAGAAAACAGACTACTGCAGAAAAGAAGGGCCCACATCTTCACAAAGAAATAATTAGATTGGAGTTAGGAGAAGGCATGTAGTCTCCAAAATTAAGGTAGGGCACATTTCCTGCCTCACGCATACTTGGCTCCACCTCTTAACTTAATTCCAAATGCAAGAGCAAACTATGATTACAATTACGGTTAACTGAATTTAGTAACAACCAGCTGGTGTGGAAATTAAAAAATAAATAAATAAAAGGTTGAAAGATATATAATAACATTTAAAAGGAGCACAAAGTTTTATATCACATTCTACATCCCAAGTATGAAGGCTATGGTATAAAAGTTACCTGTATAATCCAGTATATGAAGGAAAAAGCTGAGCTTGTAAAAGAATGTCTCTAGTTGTTTGAGGTCTTCGATCGGGATTCCTGACCCACTGTTTCCAAAGAGTCCTCCAGGTTTCCTTAAATTACCACCAGAAACGAGCTCACAGATCAGGAATTGCAGGCAATGTACCTAAATGTAGAAGTTTCACGTATTAACTAGACTTGCAAAAAATGAAATTACATTGCAAATATGATCAGCAGAAAAATATAGTTACTAACTAAAATACTCACATAATAGTAATCAATCACTAAGTTATATGATGGTTTACATTAATCAATTTCAACAAAGCAGAGTTGATACCTCCAAATAATTTCATTTAAATAAATTTTTTTATTTTTCTTGTAGTAAATCTACTACGTCATAAAAAATAGTGCCCTATCTAAAGAAAAGAGATAAAAAAATGTGAATTTTCTTATTCTGTAATCACAGCACAGTATCATTATATGATATAACAAATGAAAAATAGTAATGACTGATGCTATAGACAATAGTACAAAAGATTATAAACCGGAGGGAGTCTGTGTTAGAAGTTGAAAATATATGAAAGAAGACTAATGTTGTACAGGAACTAAATAGCAAAAAAGATGCCAACTTTGCATGATGAGATAGAATGGTTCCAACATACTCTTATGTGACTTCAGGATGCGTCAGGATGCCTGGCCTCAATATATGAGCCTGAGGAGTAAAAGACTAAGATCTTGGATAAACTGAAAATCAACATGGTAAAGGAACCCTAGGAGTTGGGAAAGGTCTCAGGACCAGATCTGGACATGCAGATATTTATTTCTTCTTATACTTGTTTCCTTTGCCATCCGCATGAGGGGAGAGTTGGCATATTTGGTCCAAAAAAATATGTTGGCCCACTGCCTTACATCTTACTTTTTTTTGATATAATGTTTAGTGATTCGGCTCAATTTCCTCTGAATAAAGATTTTATACAAAAGGACCACTTCCATATCAGCCTTCCGTCGATAATCCTAGAGATTTCCCTTACTAGTCATCTCAATTTTTAATTGTACTGGTCTTTCTTAGCAATATCTTAGTTTTTACGTCTTTGGATGAGAATTCCAACTCCCAAGGGCATGATTCCCTGTCGTTTTCTTATTTTCTTTTAAGATATTCCAACTTTTCATTCCAATCATTTTTATTACATTCCCATCACTCCTCAAATATGCCTCATCATTTCTCTAATCCCAGTATGTACTAAAGCAGAAAAGGAGGCTACTGCGGTCAAAATTGGGACTACTGCTACCCTGACAACGAAAAGCCTGAGATAGAGAACGATGGCAGGTGAATGTACAACTGCGACAGCAAGAACCAAGAAAAGCAAACAGAAGCATAAAGGAAAAAAAGAACAAAAGAAAAACAGTGTCTTAATTCAAGGATAAGAACTAAGTATGAAAATTACAAGTATATGGGCTGCAAACTATTTGATTTGTTTCTTGTCTGACACAGTACCAGTGCTGCAGAGTGTAAATCCAATAGGTACTTACTTCTAGAAAAGTACTTCATTTATGCATTTTGTGCCTTATTTGAAACTACATATGGGTATAACACATCAATGCAAACAACTTATTTTGTTAAGTAGGTGTACTAACCATATTGGAACATTATGTTATACCACTAAAAAGAATATGAAATTGAGCGTTGGCATCTAAGTTCCCAATGTAATTTGGATAATCAACTCACATGGTGGTGGTTAAAGATGTAATAATTCATAGGCAGATTTATTCAAGTGAGAAAATAATTAGACCGAACCTGAGCAACAGTTGGAGCCACTGGCCTGGGAAAGATCATATTTTGTTTATTCTCCTCATTTTCTTGATGCAGAGAATGAAACTCCTGCTCAGACTTGCTTGTATTTGCCATCCAATCTGCTGAAAGAGTTCGCATATCAGAAAGAATCCTGAAAAGACAAGAAAGTGATAGGTAATAGTACTAAAGAATGAATATGAAAAAGAAATATTGATTTCAACAGCCAGTAAAGTTTGTGAAGCAAACAGAAGATTGTCTGAAGAACATGAATGCTACATGGATGGGGACATGATGTACCATGCAGAAGCTATAGGATTGTCAAGGCAGGTAAGACAAGGACTTGATTGAAAAGATCTTGGATAGCATGCAATAAACTGTCTAAATAGCAAGGTCACCCAAGATCCATTGAAATGCTAGCTATAGGAACAGGTACGCAAATTGGACATGTTCATACCAGTTTACCATTTAGGGAGAACTCAGTGCATTTGAATCATGAGATGCGGAAGACAGGAAGCATAATCAAATATAACTTTTATTACAGAGTGGAACCAAAGAGTAGTTCTAGAGAATTTTTCATTTTTCAGGTCCAGAGTAAGGACACCTTTACTAAATGCTGAAATCGAAAACCAATCAGGCAAACACGATTATCAAATCCTTTCTTGACATTAAAATCCTAATTCAACCATGGAAATCTGAGTCCCCGGAGTAGTTTAAAGGGAAAAAATGATGATCATCTTATGTTTAACTTTCTACCTTGATAGGTCTTTCTTTTTGCGAAAAGTAGTCCGCAACATGCTATCCAGTTTATCCTGTACAAAATCTTGGACCTCCACATGGATGGTTTCCCATAAAGCATCTGCTACTAGTGTATCGCAACGTTGCATCATTGAACCAACACTTTTTATGCAACTGACAAGCTCTAATAAGGCTTTTCTTTCATCTGGTGTATAGTTCCAACGTACCACCTACATTTTTATTGTCAATGGCTATCATCAAATCAAACCATAAAGATATCAACAGAATGAATTCAGTTTAATTAATAATACTAGTAACAGTAATGACTTCAGAATTAACATTCACATTCAATGGATCAACAAAGAAATGAAAAAATTATGGACCAAACTGAAGCACTAGTAACATTTATGGCTAAATATATCATATATTTCCAAAAGGATGGAGTCTTTTAATTGGTAATGGTCTGCAGAACAATATAATATGCATTCAGGAGAAGACCAAATAAATACAAAATCTGGACTGCTCCAACAATGTGTTTGTTTCGGAACTATCCTATGACACATTTAAACCAGTCTGCGTTTATATATATCTCTTGTACTTGAGAACATGTAGCACCAAAAATGAGGAGAAAGGCGGACCTTAATTAGACAAACGTCTCTTTAGCCTTTTGTTTTATAGTGCAATCCATGTTTGGATGCATCAAGTGGATAAAATGTTTGTTTTATGATGTTCCCCTTTCTTAAAACTTTCTATGGCTGTCTTATGATAAGAAATTTAATTCTATGGCTATCTGATGACAGGAAATTTAATTAATTTTAGAATGTTACTTGAGCAAATATAAGAAACAGCCACAACCAAATGATTCTCATGGTAGAGTGACAACGTCACATGACAAAATAAATTGAATTTTAATCTGAAAAGGTTAAGAAAACGAGTGAGCGAACCAACCTTCTCATAATCAAAAAATGTTGTGGAGCTTTCATAAGAATCAAAAGAAGCCGGATCTTTACAAGGGCGGGAAAATTTCCAAGCACATTGTTCCCAAACTCGGCCTGTCCATCTGCTAAGAAGCTGAAAACCTTCAACAACAATATCATACATGTTTCCTTTGACTTCCCTGGACCAATCACTATCTGCACCATCTGTCGATTTTAAGATCACCATCTGCATATATAAAGAGCACAAAGAAATTAAGTTTCAAGTCAATAAAAATAGTTTAACTGGCAGAGCCCAGAAACTTAATTCAGAGGGATTAAGTTTTCATTATATTGCTGGAGAAGCATGAGGGATCTCAACTTTTCTAAGCTTACGAACGCCATTAAATTTTTCCCCCCAAAAAAATGCCGATTACCATCAGTTTTAAGGTTCTTTATGAGATATCATGATATTATTGCAATTTTACAATAAATTTTTGAATATAAAATGTTAAATGAGATATCATGATATTATTGCAATTTTACAATAAATTTTTGAATATAAAATGTTAAATTTGGTGTAAGGTACCCTAAGACATCATAGAAGTGAACATGCAGATAATCTCCAAAGGACAAAAAAGAGATTCATAAAAATAAAAAATAAAAAAGGAGATAGGGCCTGTATGTTACAGTGATTTTATTTAAAAAACTATTTAAAAAGAATAACTAGTAGTATACTGGTGCTGAATCAATAAAAAAGAATTAAAAGAACACAGCACCAAAAACATAAGTACTCATATGGTATCATAATTCATTTTTTTAGTTTAAATTCTTTTTGTTATTCTAATATATAATATAATTTTCATTAGATGTGAGAATCATATTATAAATACATATTTATTTGCAAAAGGAGCTATATTTATTTTTCTGGAGTGGTAGTATAATTTATATCCAATGCATTAACAGCTTGTGCTGATATATTTATTGTGTAATAATCATAAGATTTGGATGGAAGAAGTTTTGAGATATAGGGATATTGGCCATAAGGCAAGGGCAGTCATGAATTTCAATTTGAAAGTTGGGCCAGTAGATAATACATGTACAGATTAAATTCGAAGAACTTTTGTCATGTCCATTGTGGGAACTGCACTTCATTGGCATCTGAACCACTGGGTATTTTCAGATGCATTGCATATTTTACAATGCAGAGCATTATCTTTTTCCCTAAACTTTGAAACCAGTCAAACCGTCCAGACTTCATTTTATCATCAATAACTGTAAGAAAAATTAACTACCAAGATGCTGGCATCGGTCATAAATGTCATAGGTCCAACCCATAAGAGATTTTTTTTTTCTCATCATGATCAAACATCTTACAATTTTCCAATGTAGAAGAAGGTTAAATAGCACTAATCTGGTTCTCGTATTAGCATAGTAGCAGAAAAAAAAGAACAAATAGGTACTAATTGCTGTAATAATTTGATACACAAATCCTTGTGGAGGTAAAATAATATACTACCTGATTCTTCGATGAAGCAAAGCGGATAGAGAAATCATCATGCTCTGCACGAATAGCTCCAATATGGTTTACAATCAAATATTGCCTCTGATAAGTGTAAAGGTCAAGAAATTGCAAGTGAATAAAATAATAATAAGCATAAAACTATATTTGTTTGCATTATGAAGGTGTAATTGCAAGTGAATAAAATCTTAAGCAGAAAACTATATTTGTTTGCATTATGAAGGTGTAATGCATGAGCAGAAGCATGGCAAAGAATTTAATCTGCAACCATGACAAAACAAACTCCAATTGACAAATGAATTTTATCATACTGACTAGGTATAAGTTTGAAATAATAGGTTCCAACAAAGAGGTTAATCCATCATTCACTAAGATTACGCTCTATAAACTGTACGCCAAGAGGTACAAATATACATAGATATACTTACACATCCATATATGTGTACCATCATACTGATAGAAAATTAGTAAAGTAAGAACTCACAGGCATATGCAATCTAGTCTGCTAAACAAGTAGCAAGGTTAAGGAGTGTGGAAAAATTTGGTTTTCTAAATAAGGGAAACCGTGTGTGTATAGCTGTAATTAGCTAGAAGATTTTTTGTAATGATTCAGTAATTGTAATCCCTGATTCTAGGGAGTTAATTATGGGTCAATATTTCTAGGATTAGTCAGTTTCCTAGTTTAGAGTTTCCTAATTTAGATTCTCTGAAGTGTATATATCAGTGTAATTTCATTTTATTTTAATATAATAGAATTCAGCCCAATTTTTGTCATGGTATCAGAGCTTTCGGGTCAATTCTGGGAATTGTATTTCTTGTCTTGCGAATTCTGATATCGCTAGACGGCTTATTATCAATCCCCAATCAAACACTATCACCCCTCAAGTCCGTAACTTTTTTTTTTCACCAAAAGATCATGTCTGGAACATCCGAACCTAGCAACACTGTGGCTACCTCGGAGGTCTCTTTGATTGAAGGCAACAACTCGACTTCAACAGGGGAACTGCAGAACATCCAGGCAGCGTACAGGTTAAATGGGAAGAATTATCTGAAGTGGTCTCAACTGGTTCGCACGTTCTTTAAGGAAAGAGGCAAACTGAGTCACTTACTCAGTACTGGGCCTGAAAAAGGGGATCCTAAATTTGATGCTTGGGATGAAAAAGACTCTATGGTGATGTCTTGGTTATGGAACTCTATGCTTCCAGAAATCAGTGATACATGTATGTTTCTTAACACAACCAAAGAAATATGGGAAGCTGTGAAGCAGACTTATTCTAAAGTCCGAGTTGCTGCACAAATCTATGAAATCAAAACCAAGATTTCATCTACCAAGCAAGGAAGTCGGTCAATCACAGAGTATTCCAATCTGTTGCAGAGCTTATGGCAAGAGATGGATCATTACCAGTGCATTCAAATGAAGTGCAGTGAAGATGCAGCGCTCATTAAGAGGTTTGTTGAAAAAGACCGAATTTATGATTTCCTTGCGGGACTGAATATTGAATTTGATGCAGTAAGAGTCCAAATACTTGGAAAAAAAGACTTGCCATCACTAAATGAAACAATTGCGATTGTTCGTGCTGAGGAAGGAAGGAGAGGAGTCATGATTGAAAATAATCCAGTGGACAGTTCAGCTTTGGTCACAAAAGTTGTAAATGAGAGGAAAGTTGGCTTGGAGCAACCAACTAATGAAGATAACAAGCAGACAGATTTTACAAGACCAGTCGATAAAGATTCCATGTGGTGCACATACTGCAAAAGGTCCCGTCACACTAGGGAAAAGTGTTGGAAACTCCATAAAAAGCCACAGACAACAAACAAAAATTTTATAGTAAAAGGTGGGCAGCTCAAAAGACAAGGGCAGGCATATATGGCAAGCAGGCAACAAGCTGGAGAAGTTAATTCTCAAGAATCTCCTGTTGAGTTCAATAGAGAAGAAATTGAGAAACTGAAGAATCTGCTGGGATCATTGGAGAAAACATCTTCAACAGGTACTTGCACTTTGGCATTCTCAGGTATATCTTCCACTCTTCATGCTTCTAAAGTCTCGGGTATATCCACCACAAGCTCCTGGGTCATTGACTCAGGAGCTATAGATCACATGACCCACTCCTCACAAAAATTTATCTCATATACACCTTGTCCTAGTAATAGGAAGATAACAATAGCAGATGGTTCTGTGACAACAGTGGCTGGTCAGGGAGACGTTTTTATAAGCAATACCCTCACACTTAGAAATGTCCTCCTTGTACCAAAACTGTTTACTAACCTTTTGTCAATCCAAAAGCTCACTAAAGATTCCAATTGCAATGTGGTGTTTTATCCCTCTCGATGTGTATTTCAGGAACATGGAACGAGGAGGATGATTGGACATGCTAGAGAAAGGGATGGTCTATACTATCTTGAAGAACCTAGTGGTCAAGTTAGTGTTCCAAATTCCTCATCATTTTCTTTTCTTTCAGAGTCCTTTAAATCCAATAAAGACAAGATTTGGCTTCAGCACCTTCGTCTTGGTCACCCGTCATTTAGAGTCCTTAAAATTATGTTTCCTTTATTGTTCAAAGGATTAAATGTTGAAAAGTTTCATTGTGATGTTTGTGAACTTGTAAAACACAAACGTGCTTCTTTTCCAATAAGCAATAAAAGAACATCTATTCCATTTACTCTTATTCATAGTGACATTTGGGGACCGTCAACTGTTTCAAACATTTCTGGGGCTCGATGGTTCGTTTCCTTCATTGATGATTGTACTCGTGTGTCTTGGATTTTTCTTATGAAAAATAAATCTGATGTGAGCTCTGTCTTTCTCATTTTTTACAACATGGTCAAAACACAATTTGGTATTGAAATTAAAAGATTTCGGTCTGACAATGCTAAGGACTATTTTAATCAGTTCCTCACACCATATTTCCAGGAAAGAGGCATAATACATGAATCTTCTTGTGTTAGCACGCCCTAACAAAATGGTGTAGCCGAACGAAAAAATGGTCACATTTTAGCTATCACGAGAGCATTCTTGTTTCAAAAAAATGTTTCTAAACAATATTAGGGGGGAGCTGTTTTAACTGCTGTCCATATGATAAATAGATTGCCTACAAAGGTTCTTGATTTTCAAAGTCCTATGCAAATTCTAACGAAATTCTTTCCTAGTTTCAATGCTTCAAGTAATCTTGTCCCCAAAATATTCGGTTGTGTTGCTTTTGTCCATGTGCATTCCCAAAACAGGGGAAAACTTGATCCACGAGCTATAAAATGTGTCTTTCTTGGCTATTCTTCCACTCAGAAGGGGTACAAATGCTATCATCCTCCCACAAGAAAATTCTACGTGTCAGTTGATGTCACTTTTGCAGAAGAAGATAATTACTTTACTCGTTCTTATCTCCAGGGGGAGATCTCCTTCATGGAAGATAAGGACAAAGATTTTTTTCTCCTTGACTTTCCATTGTCTTCTCCTGTTCCTATCCCTGTTGTCCATCCAAATACTCAGTCCATTCCTATTAACCAGACTGAGCCAGTCCAGCTTGAGCCAATCTGTCAGTCGGAATAAATACAACCTGAGTCAGAGATTCAGCCAAAATCCATACAACCCAATACCGAGCCTCATACACCCAAGTCACAAGAGGTGATTCAAGACACTACTCGTCCACTGTTGGTTTTTTCAAGGAGGAGGGCACCTGTGCAGGTTCAATCACCCAAATCAACTCCTGTTCTTGGACTTAGCGAGGTAATTGCTGAACCTATTTCTAATAAAGATGGTACCACTGAAAATCTTGATCAAAGTGACTACGATATTCCCACTGCTATTAGAAAAGGAACTAGAGCATGCACAAAACACCCTCTATACCTATTCATGTCATACAAGAATCTGTCCCATAAATAATCACAAAGCCTTTCTCACTAGCCTAAACACAATCTCCATTCCCAAAACTATATCTGAGGCATTAGGTGATGAGAATTGGAAGAATGCCATGAAGGTCGAAATGGAAGCACTTGAGAAGAACAAGACATGGGACTTGGTGAAATTACCAAGAGGGAAGAAGCCGGTGGGATGTAGATGGGTATTCACAGTGAAATACAAGTCAGATGGTTCATTGGAGAAGTACAAAGCAAGACTAGTTGCTAAAGGCTACACTCAAACGTATGGAATAGATTACCTTGAGACATTTGCTCCTGTTGCAAAGATGAACACAGTGAGAGTGTTGTTGTCATTGGCTGCCAATCGGGGCTGGAAATTACAACAATTTGACGTCAAGAATGCCTTTTTACATGGTGATCTTGAGGAGGAGGTCTATATGGATGTTCCACCAGGGTTCAGTCCAAATACAGGACATGTAGTATGCAAGCTAAAGAAGGCATTATATGGACTAAAACAGTCTCCAAGAGCTTGGTTTGGAAGGTTTGCCAAGGTAATGCTCAATTTAGGATATAAACAAAGCCAAGGCGATCACACGTTGTTTGTAAAGCACTCAGCTTCAAGGGGAGTGACTGCACTATTAGTCTACGTAGACGACATTATAGTGACAGGTCATAATTTAGAAGGAATGGAGAGTTTAAAGAAGTGCTTAGTAAAAGAATTCGAAATTAAAGAGCTTGGTAAGTTAAAGTATTTTCTCGGCATTGAGGTAGCACATTCTCAGGAAGGGATCTTCATATGTCAGCAAAAATACATAACAGACTTGTTGATGGAGACGGGCAAGTTAGGATGCAAACCAGCAGAGACGCCTATAGAGTTCAACCACAGGCTTGGAGATGCCCTGGAAGATGCGGCAATAGACAAAGGCTCCTATCAAAGACTTGTGGGAAAGCTTATCTACTTGTCACACACTAGACCAGACATAGCCTATGCGGTTAGTGTTGTCAGTCAGTTCATGCACAATCCTAAAGAATCACATCTTAGGGCTGTGTATCAAATTCTGCAATACTTGAAAGGCACGCCAGGCAGAGGAATTTTGTTTAAGAAAGGGGAGAAGCTAACTCTTGAAGCCTACACTGATGCAGACTATGCAGGGTCTGTAGTCGATAGAAGATCAACCTCGGGTTATTGCACTTTCCTAGGAGGCAACCTTGTAACTTGGAGGAGTAAAAAACAGAATGTTGTGGCAAGATCCAGTGCAGAAGCAGAGTTTAGAGCAATGGCACTTGGGATTTGCGAGTTATTATGGCTGAAAATTGTCTTGGAAGATTTGAGAGTCAAGTGGGAAGGTCCAATGAAGCTTTATTGTGACAATAAGTCAGCTATTAATATTGCACATAATCAGAGTCAAGTGGGAAGGTCCAATGAAGCTTTATTGTGACAATAAGTCAGCTATTAATATTGCACATAATCTAGTTCAACATGACCGTACGAAACACATTGAAGTTGACATGCATTTTATAAAGGAGAAGCTTGACAGTGCCCTGATTTGCACTCCATTTGTATCCACTGGTGATCAATTAGCGGATATACTTACCAAGGGGTTGTCTGGGAAGTTTTTTCAGAGACTAGTAAGCAAGCTTGGAATGGATGATATCCATTCACCAGCTTGAGGGGGAGTGTGGAAAAATCTGGTTTTCTAAATAAGGGAAACCGTGTGTGTATAGCTGTAATTAGCTAGGAGATTTTTTGTAATGATTCAGTAATTGTAATCCCTGATTCTAGGGAGTTAATTATGGGTCAATATTTCTAGGATTAGTCAGTTTCCTAGTTTAGAGTTTCCTAATTTAGATTCTCTGAAGTGTATATATCAGTGTAATTTCATTTTATTTTAATATAATAGAATTCAGCCCAATTTTTGTCTGAAGTGTATATATCAGTGTAATTTCATTTTATTTTAATATAATAGAATTCAGCCCAATTTTTGTCAAGGAGCATTCTTTCTCTCTCAAAGCCAATGTGTCGAAGAAATATTATCATCTCTTGGAACTTTGGCAAGGTTAATGAGTAACAGCAGCTGAAATGCTTGAAACAACTAAATGGGTGTGCAGAAAATAGCTAACAATGAAGCAAAAGCAGCCAGCAGTTCAGCGGCAGGAAGAACAAGAATAATCTATGTGGCAGAGTCAAGCTTACGGTAAAGAACAATATGGCAATGTTTCTATATCTCCACACCTGCAATTCAACAGCCCCTAATGATATCAATGCGATGTCATCATGGGGAGAAGTAAAGCTGGTCATGGAACGATACTATAAAAACTATTCATCCAGCAATTGGGCTATCACTATCTACTGAAGTTTGCAGAAGACAAACTCAAAGGACCGAGATGAAGGGTAAAAACTTGAGTTCTCCAAATTCAGAGGACCAACAAGAAGGGTGAAAACTGAAGTTCTCTCATGGTGCATGTCCATGGTTATGGACGAAAAACCCCAGCAACCCAACATCAACATGAAGGTAGTAACCACTCCAACTGTATCCATGGTAAGGTAGCTACTATCACTCTATACAACATGCAAAACATGCATTTTAGTGAATTCTGATCTGTTCACCATCATTTACCTATCAAGAGAAAATTCTGATCCTGAAAGCATGTCTGAAGTACTCAGGAAACACAGTCAATTTCCTAAGCATCTTTTTTTTTACCTCAGAACTTATCCCAGATTCGATACTTTTCCCATAGAGAGAGCTCTGCTTTTTTAGTCAGAATTAACTCCTTTTAACATATAAAATTATTGACTGCCATATGATAGAGGAATATAAGTTGCACCCCAAGTCTTTGACTCTACGATAATTAAATAAAAATACAACTTAAAATCACAATGAGAAGGATATTCTTGCATTTCCCGTGGAGGAATTTCATGCGGTGCAGGAAGAGTAAGAAGACGAGTTTGACTGGAAAAACTTGGAAAGTACATTGACAGTTCTTTGAGAATCGCAGCAGGAGAAAGATGAAGATCTGGAAATGCAGGAATCACAGGATCATTCTGCAAAAGGTTCCAGTTAATAGTTCAAACTTAGATTATGTTATAACATAATGATAGAACAACTATATCACAGCCACAGTGTATCAGTATATGCACCATGTTAGGAAAAGGAAATCATACCTTGAAGATGTTAATAAGGCGGTTTATCTTAATCCTTCTATAGAGTGATTCTGCATCTTTCTCAGATGAGGTTGCCAAGACGACAAGTACTGGCAAAACCCGAAGTAGGGCATGGCGCTCTTGAAACAAAAGTGCAAAGTCTAATTCTAAAGACTCAACACAGAACACTATAAGCACTTGCAGAATATCTTCTACACTAATTCTAGTCAAGGAAACTTTTTTTTTCATAAGATGTCTAATATTTGATGCATACATACAATACTTTGTAGTCAAATTTTCTCTGTAACATTTTCTGGCAACTGAGGAAAAAATATTAATGTATAACTAATATGATAAAAAACAAGAATATTAATGTATAACGAATATTTCTGGCATGTTGAATTTTAAAAGTAATTCAAAGTTTCACCAACTTATGAGAAACAAGCATTTATTTTATATTCTCATGTGAACTCTTCATGGGATCATTAATTAGCAAATGAGTAAATGGGCAAAATTAGCAGGGATGCATTAATGATTTCTTTATAGGAATAATTAGAAATAGAAAAAAAAAGAAACATGCAATCAAATGGTATTTGACTGTGACAGTTATTCAAGTTGTAGGATACGTGTTGGCACGAAACATCTCAGCTTGCAGATTCAATAGAATAGCCCACCTTGTGCTTAAGAATATCTGCAAAATGACAGCTTTAATGAGTGAACATAACAATTCACTCATAACAATTAAAGTGACACTTAAAGAAACGTTGTCAACAAAGCACCATGCAATATAGATTAGTGAGGTAGTGATGACAAAGACGTGCATAGCATTGACCTACTCAAGACCTCTGATAATTTAGAACCTCTGAGTCCTCTGAGAATTTAGAAACTCGGAGAGATTGAAAACAAGCTAACCTGAAGGTCATCTAACTCTTCTCTCATTGAATCTGTGTCCTGCCACTGAATGCTTACTTGGGTAAAAGTTCTGGAAAATAGGACACCAAACAAAGGTTGGTTAATTGCTTAGAGTCTGAAATATCAGGTAAAACCATTGCCACAAAAGCTTCTGTTAATTAGCTAATTAACAATAAGGAATTATCCTGTAACTGGAGAACACTTATAGTCCATTGTATCAGTAAATTGACAAATGGAGAGGTGAAAATTACCGCAGCAGTGTAGGCATAAGAGCAGTCAAAGTGGTATTGAATTTTTATCAAGTATTAATGGAGATAAGACGGTTCTATGAACATTTAAATTAAACAAAATCTATTATCAACATAGACATAAAACATAAATACCATAATAATAGTCAAGTTACATCTGTTATTTTTCCAACAGCAATGTGCAGATATATATATACTCTCTTTAAAAGCACGAGTTTGGGAAAATCTTTCGGTAGACAAAATTACCCTTCCATTAAGTAATAGCAAGTTGATAAATTGATGAATTTTTATTGGATATACATAGTATGAAGATAAGGATATAGTTTAAATTGAAATGTAAACTTTAATGAATTTATTAAATATCAAATTTGCAAATGTATACAACATGAAGGGCGTATATGTAAAAACCAAATAAATTAACGAGATAAATAATGTTTGCCCCAACGGTCGAACCCAGAAATTAAACAGACATACAAATGTACATAGTATGGATGGGATATTTGCAAAATCCATCAAACAAATTAAAGAGACAAAAGTTGTTCTCAAAATTATAAAAAAGGAAAATTAAAACAAACGGCTACGATCTAGGGACACAACGTGACGATCTCTCACCGACTAAAATTCAAGTAGTTCATAGTATTGCATAATTAGTTTTAAAATTTAATTATACTATTATTATTTAAATAGAACTCTATTTACAATGTTATCTTCTCACATGCAACATCGCATACCAATATATATAAGCCAAAAAATTACAACAATTTTCATAGCACTTTCATCTCCTTCTATAGGTGTGTGTCTTTGTTAGTTTCTTCTTATTAGATTAAATTAGATTGTTTAAATATTATGATATGAATTATAAAATAGCAATAATTTTCACAACACTTTCATCTATTTTATTCTTATTAGATTAGATTAGATTATTTTAAAGTAATTAACTATATTATATGTTTGATCTTTTTTTCAGATCAAAAATTATAATAATTTTTCATAGCACTTTCATCTCCTTCAACTGGTATGTGCATTTGTTATTTTCTTCTTATTAGATAATATTAGATTGTTTAAAAATGATGAATTATGTAATTGCAACAATTTTTACATCACTTTCATCTATTTTCTTCTTATTATATTAGATTATTTTAAAGCAATTAATTATATTGTATATTTGATCTTTTTTTCAGATCACAAAGTTTAATTATACTATTATTATTTAAACAATTAATTATATTGTATATTTGATCTTTTTTTCAGATCACAAAGTTTAATTATACTATTATTATTTAAATAGATATTGTTTGTATAAATCAGATCACAAAGTTTAATTATACTATTATTATTTAAATAGATATTGTTTGTATAAAAATCAAAGAGAAACTCACACGTATCTTAGATCTCAATGCCAATTGTAATACTTACATATGGGTGTTGGTTAAAATAAATTTTATGTATAGACTTAACTTATATGATCCTACTTTAACCGGATTAGATAATTTAATTTTTTTACACTTAAACTCTTCCACAAAACCAAAAGAGAGTAGCAATACTATAGCTATATATATCCACAGAACCATAGATATCTTGAAATGAACAAAGAAAATCACACAAACAAAAAACATATTAATTACCTCCAGTTTTCAAAACCACCATTTTTCATCTCCATCTATAATATATCCACATACTCAAATTAAGTTGCTGGAGTTTTTCCCTCACAAACTACACTATTGATCAACCCTCATTTTTTCTTTGTACTTAAATTGTATAACATTCATTGCAATGAAGACTCACTTGGGTCTTCTGTCTGCCTTGAACGCCTAATAAAAAAATAATGTATTAGGTCTTGTAGTTAGTTAATAATGAGATCCTATCATTGTTAGTATTCTTCCACTGCAAAATTAATCTTAAGAGTTGCTTGCATTAGAAACGTTATGTTAGATAGCCCAAATAGTTTATTTTATAGTTTAAGATTGTCAACATATTTTATCTCTGATACATATGAATTATGAGTAATAATATAATTTGATTGATCCAAGTATATTCTAATATATTTCTAAACTATTGTCTTGTCTTTTGTTTTTTATTATATACCAACATGATATCACAATTGATGCAGACGATGAAGGCACTATTGTAAAATTGTCCAGGAAAAAAGATAAATGTGGAGAATGATTGATCTCAACTCAATTTAATATGAATAAAGAACGAATACAGGATAATATTTTTTTGAATATTTTATAGTAAAACTTAAATTTTTTAGTAAAATTAGGAACCTTTAAAATTAATTTTCATGCAAAATTTTTAATACGCTTATCTGAATGATTTGTCATATAAAATTATACTAGAGTCAAGTATGTGCTCTGTGCTGAGCTTATACAAGCCATATTAATATTAAGTATTTAGTTATATTTTTATTAACACATCAACAATATATTATTGCATTTTTTCAAACTTAACACTATATATAATGACTAGGATAAACAAATTGGACATCGATGATTTAATCCGATAAACAAATATAATACATGAAGTTTGATATATACAAATTAAAAAAAATAACATTGTGTATGTAAGTACATAAAAGTATAGTGATCCCAGTTTTTATTTCATAATTTTTTTAAAATGTTTAATAAGATTTATGGCAAAAGTAATAATCCATGTTTATAGAATTTAATTCAAAATGAATCTGACTTATTTTATAATAAGAAAATAAATAATTTTGATATCTAACCATGTGCATTGCACGTGCACAAGAACTAGTAATATAAAGAATGTGACTTCAAACTGCTTATAATGAACTTAGGAAACTTAGGAGAACTCAGCTCTTAAAAAACTCAATCACTATAAGCCCACATCAAGCTACTTATACAGTCAATATGGGACTAAAATTAGCCTTAATTTATCTCCATGCTTCCGCAATCCCAGTAGCTGGACAACTTTACACTGGATTGCAATATCAGCTTCACCACTTTGTTTTTGGACTTATACCAGTCTGGTGCAGACATTGCCATGCTGACATCACCATCCTTGTCACATAATTCAACTTGAGAAGCATGAATGAAATTATTCGTGATACCATTTGTCACAGACATAGGATTCACCCCTAAAGACCTAGTGGTGTGAAACAAATGTACATGCGGGTATGAAGAACGACGACAATAATGCTTTACCAAATCAACGATCGATCTAGGAAGGAAACTTGAGAAGAAAGTGAAGCTCTAGATGGGTTTAACAAAGATTGCAATGTACTAAGTTTACGGCCTTGTAAATTATTCAGAAAATAAATGTAATGATTCGTTCTCGTAATAAAGTTCGACTTGTAATATTTAGATCAACGTGACAAACAGAATCACTCGCTCACTAATCAAGCAGAATACAATACAATCACAATTGATATTAAAATTGATAATAACATGCACACGATAGCAGTTCCTAAAATGCTGGGTTGAAAGAAAACGATACTTTCGTCGGTCTGAACAGGCTCGACGTGAGGAACCTCTGAAGGTGGTGCGACGATGCCAAATATGAGCGAAGGGAGTTCTCCTCCGAGAGCTACATAACTGGGGTGAAGTGGGACGTTTGGGTGGAAGCGCTGGTGCCACGAACTGATTCCCAAACGGTTCTCCACGCTTTCAGCAATCTGAGGAGTCACGCGATCGACGTACTCTGCTGGGGTGTTAAAAGACTGGTAGTCGAACCATTGAGAGAGCTGCAAATCAACCACGCCGGTCTCTAGATCGTACACGAATTGGGCGTCTACGGCTGCAATAACGGCCATGCACCAGTGGGCCATGGAATCAGAACTCGAATCGGCGACGAATGAGGCGAAGATCTGATGTCGACGAGGCGAGCGATGGTGAACTAGATGACGATGTGTGCGACGACGTCGAACTGGACGACGACGCGGTGGTATTAGGACTGCTCGGAAGTGGAGGAGGGCAGGGGAAGGTTGGTGTGGCTGTTCGAAGTTGAGGGAGAGCAGGGAGGAGTCAGTGGCTTTGTGGAGGAGTGAGAAAGGCAGGGGTGGGCGGCGGCTTATGGTGAAGTGGCGGGTGATCGGGGAAGGAGGAGAAAGAGCGGCGGCTAGGGGAAGTGGCGGCTTTTCAAAATATGAAGGAGGGCAGGGGAGGATGTAGTGTCGGCTGCTCGAAGTTGAGGAGAGCAGGGAGGGTTTCGACGATTGTGGAGGAGGAGCACGAGGAGGCAGCGGTTGGCGGTTTTGGAGGTGGAGCAGGGAGCAGAGGTTTTCGGCGATTGTGAACGAGGAGAAGCAATGGGCGTGGCTGGTGAGGTTGCAGGGGCTCGATGGAGAGGAGTAGAAGAAGCAGGGGTGGCGTTTGTGGAGGAGAAGGGAGCAGGGGGTTGGGGAATTGGCGGCTGTGGAGGAGAGGAGAAAACAGGGAGGGGTGTTGGGCGATGGGAGAAGGAGGGTTGCGGACGACTGTGGAGAAGGGAGAGAGTCGGCCTAGGGTTTCACACCCGAGGCTTCACACCAAAAATCAGCTAACACAATATTTTTCTTGATTCAAATCTTCATTGATTAATTCTGATTACAGAAGTGCTTTAAAAAGAAACGAAAAATACAGATTTGGAAATCCCTCAAATCACTCAGATATAACTGATTAACGACCAAATTTAAACCACAATTCAAAATTCAAAATTCAAATCTAAACTGCTAAACTGAATTAACTACTCAATCTGAAAATCAAAGTCAAATAGCCACGTTGTCCACTAGAGGACGTTTCCTACACCGGTAGGTACGTCCGAATCTGCTCGTGATGTCCTCATCACCTAGTGATTAGAGTGGAGAGTCCAAATCGCTATGAACCCAAATTAAACCACTCATATAGTCAATATGGGGCTAAATAAGTCCTGCAGACCATCAATCTTCAACAGTCCTAATGAAAACGGGTGTTGCATTAGCCTAGTCTTGGTATTGCGGTATTCGATCATAGTAGTCTAGCGCAAAGCTAGTCCATGTGAGCATCAAAACTGTCAAAAGCATGGCGGTATGCTGAGGTTAATTTGCCTCACATTGGCTATATGGGGTTGATGCGGGTTTATAGAGATTGGATCCCCTCCCATAACAGCTAGCTTTTAGGATTGAGTTCTCATAGGTTTCTAAAGCAAACAATTGAAAATTCTATAGGAACATTATGCAAGATGAATGCAAAGTAATCAACATGAATAAGATAAACCATCTGCACAAGCAAATATTACATGAGAGTTTAATGTTGGGTCTTTATAAGTGAACGACATCAGGGTGTATTAAACTTTTTTACCAGATTTTAAGTCTGACTTTGAACTTGATCGAGGTAAGCGAGAAACATAAACTTGCAGGATGACTATAGGTGATGTACTTGATAGTTCTTATGCTCTCAACTGTGTACCTCAATTTTAAACAATCCCTATAACAAGGTAGTCAAATGAAGTAGAAGTTTACTCATGCTACAACTATTCCTTGAACCTAGTTGCTATGTAAATATAAATTCATTTTGTAAATGGTGTGACAGGAGATTAACTGGCATACCTTTTATACCATGAAAAATCATTTGGTATGCTAGCTTTCGCATTTTTTAAATGATCAAGCTGCACAAGGACATCAAGCAACTTGATCATAGACCTGATGAACAAGAAAAATGGAATTACAACTCTATTGCAAAAGGATACTTCTAAATTCAACTTATAATAAAAAGGGCGCAATATAAGCATAAGTAGTATTTTTGCGACTCGAACGTGAGCTTCTACATAATACTTTAATTGTGTACTAATACTTTATACCCCAGAAAAATGGATAATATATTCTACAATTCCTAGTGAAAACTGATTCAGTCACGTGCTTCTCAAATATTTGAAATTTCAGGTATCATGGAATGTCTGGTTGTATTTAAAAAAAATGGTGGGACACTTGAAGACAAAACTTTATGGGACCTAAAATCAGTGAATGAAGACATCATCATTTGGCTTGGCAATTTTAGATGAAAGGTACAAAGATGACTCCTCATTATGTTTTATCATAGCATAAGCTAAAAGCCAAATGTACAAAATCAGAAAATTCAAGCTAATTAACATTAGTAATGAAAAGCAAATAAAGCAATAGAGCTGTAAAGAGCCCAAAACATGCAGACCTTAATTAGAATATACTAGATCCTGGATGCAGGTTAACATTCAAATTATTCACACTGCTCAAGGATAATCTAGAACCCTTATAGCACAATTCACAAATTGAAATGATGTAACCGAAGTTGATGATGATAAAATGAGGGACAAACCAAAAATGAGTTATTGTAGGCCCATTTATCAGTCTTTCTGGCCTAGAAAATCTCTGCATGTCAGCTGCCAGCTGCATCGGACAACACAAAGAAGAGTGATTAAGTGAATCTGAAGAGAACTTTGTAAATGCACTAGAACATATAAAGCAATAGACCCAAAGATATCTAATATCTGGAATAGTACTACTATATGGGGGAGAAATAACTAACATTAGTATTAAAGTCAGATTCAAGACTTCAAGAATTTATTTGTGTTTATTTCTAAATAAGTAAATAAATATTGCCGAAAACAAAAGATAGAGAAGCATGGTAAAGACAATTAGGCAAAAATAAATGATTCATAATAGCATACTTAT